TGGAGAATTCATCCTTAGATTTGGCTTCCCAACAAAACTACATCACGATCAGGGAAGGGAGTTTGAAAACAAATTATTTGCAGAGCTCCAAAAATACTGTGGAATCCAAGGTTCTCGCACTACCCCTTACCATCCCCAGGGGAATGGTCAAGTGTAGTGCTTTAACCGTACTCTTTTGGCCATGTTGCGCACCTTGGATGATGAAGCCAAAACTGATTGGAAAAATTCTATTGCCAAACTAGTGCATGCCTATGATTGCACGCGCAATGAGTCCATAGGATATGCGCCCTACTACTACTACTACTACTACTACTACTTTACCCCAGACTGCCCATTGATATTATGTTTGGCATCCCGACCACTGATGGCAGTCCATCTCACCACGAATATGCAAAGAAATGGAAACAGAGGATGGAGGAGGCCTACAAGTTAGCCTCTAAGGCGGTAAAGGCTTGTGGAAAAAGAGGAAAAGAATGATATGACAGAAAACCTCAGGGAGCCGAGTTATATCCTGGCTGCAGGGTTCTGATTTGAAACTTGACAGAGGGGTGGACCCGGGAAACTGCGATCATTCTAGGGCGAAAAAGTGCATGTTGTTGTGATGAGAAAACACCCAGACAGTCCAGTTTATGAAGTACGACCGGAGCATGGTCAGGGTCGCACCCGAGTACTCCACCGGAATTTGCTGCCGCCCTGCGATTTCCTGCCCGTTGAGATACAGATTAAAAAAGGGGGGCGAGAAGAGATATAAAGAGAAATATTCACCAACACCACAGAACCAGGAACCAGACTCTTCCTCAAGTGCCGAAGAGGATGAATGGGCAGGCATTGGACAGCCCGAGGGCAGTGGCCAAAACAATTCGGGAGCAACCTTAGGGCAGAGGCCGAAGAGTTCCAGCCACTAGCAGCACCGCCAGCCCCTGTGAGCGACAGCAGGATGGGGGAACAGACTCCATGCACACCAGAGGCAGATAGAGAGGAAGAAGGATTATCAGAGACTGAGCTAGAGAATGAAGTGACAGCTGACCCGGGAGAGGATATTGAGCTGGAGGCAACAATGGGAGAGAGGTGTCACCACCATCTTCAGCACCAGCCAGATCATATCATTTGAGAGTGAGAAATGCACAGAAAATCCTCACATATGATAGACTGGGACATCCCACATTTAGTTAAAGGGAATTTGAAATTTATTCTGCCTCAGAATTGCAGATGCCAATGCAATTTAGTTTTAGAGTTTGTTAGTTCACGGGTATGTTAAACTAATTGATTGGAGATGTGTTCAAAAGAGAAATGTTTAGAAAATGTTATTTTAAATTAATAGAGGTCTATAAGTAAGTCAGTTTACACATAGAGTGTCACAATGCAGGGTCATTAAGAAGTAATAGTTCTTGTTGTAGAACAAGTCTATCTGGAAATGAGTACTATAAAAGGTCCATACAACAAGATGAAGAAAAGTGGTTAAGTTCTATGGTGAAGTGTGAGATTTTATGTTGACAGGTCAAAGGCCACACCTATACCAGTGAAGACAACCTTCCTGTGGACACAGCGGTGTAAATAGTTGGGTGTTGTAGTGCACAATGACACCAACTGTTTAACACCTGACATTTAAAAGGGGGATGTTTGTTATGTGGTATCTGTAATCAGATGTATGTCTTGGATACTGGACTCTAACCTGTAAGCAATCGGACTGTTTGACACAGAATAAACTAAGACTGGAAATGTCGGGACAACATTTACTTAAGCAGGGGAGAATGTAATAGAGCCTTCATGATTCATTTCTTTTGTGTATTGCTTGGCTTTCTCCAGAATTAATGGGCCTTTTGTTCTATGGTTATGTTGGCAGTTGCATTTTTTAACCACAAGGTGGCAGTAAAAGAAAAAAGTGAAATAATGGGCAGAAACCAGAGTCCTGCACCGGGTCGGGTACCCGCAGATAGTTGCTGAAACGGGCGGATTTTAATGTTATGGAATTTTACAGGCGGGTATGCGGGCGGGTAATTCATTACACATGGGCAGGTAGCAGGTCAATCAAAACAGTATTGTAGCCTGCAAAAATACCATAAGCGAAAATATCTATGTATTAGACTATCATGTACAAATTGTCATCATCACAGTGTGTTCAGTATGTTGGGGGTACCTTAGATAACCGCCTCGACAAACATTCATATACACGTCTGTACCGTAACCTTGCTTAGACTACATTGCGGCAGACAATGTATTGTAGCGAGCGGCACTACTACTCGTGCTCCCGTGAGGCATTGTGGTAGGGAGTAATTTGCATGTGGGGATATTGCGGGTATTTGTTTATGTTTTGGAGAAGATTAGAGGGGGAGTAGTTGTTATAAAATAGAAGTAGGGAATTGTTGTGGGTAAAATTTTTTGTGTTTGTGTTTTAATAAACAGTTGATTTGGGTCCTTCTCGCCAGTCACCCTCCTCCAGAACGTTAGCAAGTGGGGAGCTGTTTGAGTGTTTGTGGCATTGTATAGTGTTACCAGCACGTACCAGGGGGGTGCTGTATTCTGTGTGTGCAAAACTGCTCTTCGAAGCTCGTTGAGCCGAGAAATAAAGAATCCTTGCTGGAGCGTGTTGTTGCGTTCTCTCTTTCACACTCGTCACAGTATGGATAGCTTAGATCTATCTGATTTGATTTTGTGTTAAACGGACTTTTCCGTTTCAATTAAAAATTCATGTAGGCCTAGCGCTTGTCATGTTGAGAGGTGCATAGAAAAAATAATTGTTTATAATTTATTACGGGTACGGGCGGGTAACGGGCAGAATGTTAATGAAAACCCAGGACAGAATTTGGGCAAAGTTTATAAGTAAATAAATACTGTAGTACGGAGGTACCGGCGGGCAGCACAGCATGTTGGACTGATGCCAGCTTCCAGCTTGTACATAGTTCTCAGTAAACGCTTGTGTCATTATAAATGTGCTGTGTGTTATGTCATATATAATCGTTAATGTTTATTGTTGTACGTAGTGTGTGTGTGTGTGTGTGTGTGTGTGTGTATCTGTGCGTGCACTCACCGTGTGTTTGAGGAGTAAATGGGGCAACGAGCACGGTGGGCAGTGCGAGTGTGTGGGTTGTAGTAGTATGGGTGTAATAAACGCCATTGAGTGATTAAACCCCGAACTATCTCTGCTGTCTAATTATTGCGAGCATGGCTCAGCGACCCACTATTACAATACAGATGCTCCTCTACTTAAGAATGAGATTAGTTCTGAACTTGGAATGTTCGTAAGTCGTTATTCAACATCATTTTAAGGGTATACGCAAGTACAAAGAACTAGGATGCTGGGAGTACACACGCTGTGCGGTGGGAGTAGCGGCCAGAAGTCGTACTAGAGTACTAGACAGAGTTGGCGTGCAGAAAAGAAATTGATGTTGTGGACAGGAAACGGGGGCCCAAGGAACACAATTTGGACTTTCAGACATAAGAACGAAGAGGACTGTAAGTTCGTAAGTTGAAGGTTCATAAGTAGAGGAGCATCTGTACTTTATTATAAATATTATACTGTGTGTGTGTGTGTGTGTGTGTTGGTTTTGAAGGCTTATGGGAACATTTCACCTGAATACGTACCGACACTATGAGGACATCTGGGATTATGAGGACAGGAGCTATGTCCTCATAATTCTGACAGCATAGATGCACTTCTACAACTGCCAGAAGCATCCTCCCACCTTTTCATTGCACGTCTTAATATACCATAAAAACCAGCTTTTGTGTATTTTTGTGTATGACGATGCACCACCAATCGTTTGGGTATGGTACTGCAATCTGATACACAATTGATACACATTTCCTCCAAGATACACAAAATTAGCGGGAAATATTTTCATTGGTTCACTGGACATTTATGCAAATGAACGTGCCAAGCGTCTTACGTCATCGATTATTTCGCGACTCTCCGTTTTGTTTAATTAGCATACCAGTTAGTTAAGTGTTAAGGAAAGCAGAATAGTTATCCGGCCTACGTTGTTATTTTCTATTTTATTTCATTTACCGAGGTAGGTAACGTTGGTTTAATGAATGGTTAAAAATAATTACGTGGTGTGAGAAGTTTTATATCCAACAAGTAAAAATGCCTTACTTTATGAGGAAAATAATTTCACGTCTTAAGTTTGGTAATTCGGCTAAACTGCGTGTGTCGTGAAAGTAATAATACCGACATAAACCCCATAAAACGAACTAAGCAAATACACATCCATTAAAGGCGACGCAGCAAATGCACACCAAAGTGTTGTTTTAGTGAACAAACATCTTTCTGATGTTTATGTAACAGAAGGGGTTTAAACTTATTATATTCATGGTTTACTTGCCAGAACGAACAATTTAAAGATTATTCCTTGACACTAATAGCTTAACGCTGACACAAAAATATTAAATTCCCATGTTTAAGGCCGTCTTTAACTCTGGTAAACCTATAGGCCTACACGTAGGGAAAATTCGCGAAACCGGGGACCCACCCGCAGCAGAATAAGGCAGCTCCTTACTGTAGCTGTAATGCACGTGATAGTACGGCAATTATTGAATTAATGCAGAGAATTTTTTTTTTCCATTCATACATACTTTTTCAGCATTAGGAGGATATATTTACAACAGGAAAGGATGATATGATAAAATTATATTGGGTTGTTTGTGGACGCTGTATACCTGGAAATGTTAGGGACCTTTCGTCTCCTGTGGTAGTATAAGCAGCAGTAGCGTAGGGATGGGCCAGTAGTGTCCACCCAAAACAATATAATTTTATCATATCATCCTTCCCTGTTTTAAATACAACGGGCGATGTTAGGATAAAAATAATATAACACAAATTTAGTTTTACTTTGATTGATTAATAATTATTAATAATAAAATACCTCAGTATTAGTATAACAATATTTGTTTATGTATATAACAGATGAGGATGTTTATATTAATATGTCATTGTTTGTGGCCAAGATGTTAATATGATTATCAAACTTAAAATTTGAAATGTTAAAAACGTACTGATTTCATCATACATTTGAAACATATCAGACTGTCAAATTAAATATTTTCCATAAATGCACAAGCACTTGACATTTTAACAGGTTTAATTTTGTAGTATTGCACAAGTCTATAATGGTATATTAGTGATAAACCAACCAATACTTTATAAATGGAAGCAGCCCCATGGCTGCAGCAGGGAAGCGGAGCAGCAGAAGAAATTTAAAGCCTAAAGAAGATGCAGCTCACCATGCATCCACATGCACTGATAAATGTGGATTTGAGATAAGATATATCAGTCCATATAAAGGTAAGCTAAAGTCCTCATTGACTGAATATTGCATTTCTGGCTGATTATATAAGACAAATTATAATTTTGCTCATTCTGCTTTAATCAGGCCGTGGAGTATTTAGTTGTGGACATTATGCAAAAGGAGATTTTCTCTTGGAATACAGAGGAGAACTTATTCCTAAAGAAGAAATGGAAAGAAGACAACGGGTTTACCATGATTTTTTAAAGGTTTTTATGTTTGAGTTCAAGTTTCATGGGAAGTGGTGGTGTTAAGTGTTGAAATATGTAAGGACCATAATTATTACTGTGAAAGTCAATGCAAAGCATATTAATTTGAAATCATAACACATTATTATTTTAAATATATTAATGCACTTTGATACCCCAGTGGGAGAACAGTATGAACAAAGTTTTTTTGATAGAGATCTATAGTATTCCTTCCTGGCTGTAAACAGTATGTGCGCTTCAGCTGGGATTTTCACATTCACAGCTAAAATCAAAACCATTAGTTAGTGTGTCATGAGGAAGCTAATTCAAGTTTTATTTAAATTTTGAAATTGTTTTATGTTATTGAAGGCTGACATCTCAAAATGAGGATATCTGCAGTTACTACGTGCACTTTCAGTGGTTGTTAGTTTCTGTTTATATAAGTACAGTATTTGCCAAATGTAGATCCTTATAGATGATTTATTTGACTTGATTAAAAATTTATTTGTCACAAAGCATGAAAAAATATTGAAATGCATAAAAAGTATATGAGTGAAGGTATAAATTAAAAGACTATAGCCCTAGTTTAATACATTACCATTTTTGATAACTCTAGTGTTGATGCAGCAAGAGAAGATGGATCCCTTGGCAGGCTTGTCAATGACGACCACATCGACCCAAATACCAGAATGAAGAGCATATCTGTGACTGGAAAGCCACATTTGTGTTTGTTCGCAACTAAAGACATCACTCCAGGAGAGGAGATTACGTACAACTATGGTGATTCAGAGTAGCCCTGGAGACACAAGGTACACCTTTGGTCAGATGTATTTGAGTTAGTAGAGTGCTGTACAGGGGTGACATTAAGAGTGTTTAGGGGGCATTAGCTTCTCTAAAATGTTCTTTTGCCCCCACCGAAATGAATGGACACTAGTTAAAATAGTGTTACCTTTTCAGTCAGACCCTCGTAGTAAAGGCTCAGCCCCCATTAGCATAGATCTTCAGTGCCCCCGCTCATCCTGTGTTAGTGCAGTGTCATATTCCACTCATATTCACAGGGGGGTCAGGGTGTTTTTCTCACAACATATCAAATTGTATTATAGCTATAAACTTTGAAACTGTTTGATAGTCACTAGTTTTAGACTTCTAGATATTAAGTGGAGTTATATACTAATCTTGGATGATATGATAGCTAATAAAAAAAAAAAGCGTATTCAATAAACGGTGAATGTGATATGTTCCGTTGTCTTTATGCAGGATTTTGTAGATTTAGCCCAATGTGTTTAACATTCATTTAGGGCTTTGAAATAGTCACTGTATATTATTGCTGCATAGAAGTAGTATTTAGACTATGCCTTGTGATTGTATATTGTAAAAGTATGAACGTATACTGTGTTTGTGATATGTTATGTTGTCTCTCTACAGGATGTTGTAGTCCAGGCACCTGCACTTCAGCCTAGTGTTGGTGGGGAACAGCCTGACAATGTTAATAAGGTATGTAGCATAATATTTCTGACTTCTACTTATGTATGATTATGTATAATGTGGTTGTGTGTGTGTGTGTCTGTATATGAGGACAGTAGTTTGCAAGGACATTGTGGAGAAATGTCCCAGAGATGCATTTAGACTATTAATTTCAGCATGTGTGTATGTGTGTAGGTCTGAAGAA